TTTAGCGTATATTGTTTACGCGGACAAACTTTTCTCAATAAAGACTCAATATAAAATGATAAATTTTTTTCTATTACTCATCAGCTGGTTATGGCTAGATCGTAATAGAGCCTGACTTTTGAGTTTCTGTTTTATTGAAATACAAAAATATTTAGATCTTCGATTTTTTTGACACCAAATTTAAGAATTTATCGAAAAAGCTTTTTCAAAAAAACAACCAAAGGAAAATTCAAAAATCGAGTTTTTCTGTGACCCAGTCCTAAGTGTACTCCATAGCTACTAGCAGACAAAACGAGGCTCATTATAATGTAATATCTTTGATTATATCAATTCTGTTTCACATTATTGAAAAAATTTTATCATGATAACTAAAACAACATAAGACGAGACATATTATAAAGAAGTACAACAAAGTATGCAACGAAAACGTAGAGAATAAGTGATATTTATAAAGTCAGGTAAGAAGATTTACATCTGACAATCAATTTTTGCAATAGCATGATTACAAAATTCACTATTCAATTGTTTTGAATCTAAAAAAGTTCTTCTGTCAGTGAATATAAGTTCTACAACATTAAATTGATGTTCGATTCAAGCATTCATTGCTAGAATCAAATAAATTGATTATAACTCTGAAGTATCTTGGATATTTGGAAGATATATTTTACCTCTAATCTATTCTAGCCAAGACATTAGTATTCTCTGAAATTTTTGATTGAAACTAACTGAAAAATAAAAAAGTTTATTTTTTAGGTGAATTCTTGCTTAAGCATTAATCATCCGCATACATTCAAAGAATATGAAATAGCATTTGTTCGAGCTTTAGTTTCTCGAAATTGTGGTAATTGTAAACATTGTGGTACACAAATATATCGAAATGCTCTCAAATGTACACGTAAGATAAAACAAAGAATAATTTTTTCAGTATTATACTTTAACTAATAATTCATATTTATAACAAAATATATCAATGAGAATGATTATATATTTATCATCTTAAATTAAATTAAAAAAATAATCTTTAATAGAAATACTAATGTGGAACTTCTTTTCACAGTAATCGGACGGATGTGAAATTTCAACGACCATTGGCTACGTTTTCTTGACAAAGGGGAGACGGATAGCGAAGGCTAACGACTATTGAGTATGTGTCCATAGCCACTGAGGATAATAGGCGTTGGACTCCTTTCCCAGAGATCCTTAGTGATGAAAAAAGGCTTCGAACGGCATTAATAACAAGATTTAGACTGTTCTAGAGAATTCAAGAATATTTCAAGTCTTTCCTCGAAATTCGAATAGTCCTAAATATGTAGTTTTTGATTATTGTACAGATAAAAATTTATATTCAAGATGTCAAAGATGATGGGTAACGATTATTTTGATTTATTACAGTCGTCTTATGATTAACATTAAAGCATTAACTGATCAAGTTATAACTTTAGAAAATAATCAGTGTCTGTATTTCTGAGTTTATTGAGATATATAATATTTTCACTGAGACTTACTATAGATATAAGAGATATGTACGACAAGCTTATTTACCAGTTAAATCAATAGTTAGAATAACAAGAATGATAAATAAAGAAAAATAGAATACAAAAATGAAAAAAAAGGCAATAAAAATTAAAGTGCCAGTAAAAAAAACAAGAGGAAAAAATTTCTGTCCGAAACACAAATAAATAAGGCAGATCGCTTCTTTGACGATCGATTATCCTTGGAAAATAACAATAGTCTGCTAAAGATTTTTCGCTTAACGTATTTTGCAGTGTCCGACACAGTTCACTTTTTTTGTGGCCCAACCCGACCCGAGCATATCGTGATCCGACCCGACTCGAGGTGAGGGATAGTTTTTGGCCAATCAAAGTGAGTTTTTTTCAGACATTGACAATCTTCTCAGTAAATTGATACATATTCTATAGGTATTCGAAATAAAGAAATGATTATCTCACCTAAAATTGCTGTTTTTTTTATGTGAAGTTCGGAATTCGTAAACCTTTTGTGACCCAACCCGACCCGAGCACGATATGATTCGACCCGATCTGATCTGAGGTCAAGTATGTTTTTTCGTGACCCGACCCGAGTCGGACACTGGTATTTTGCATTATCACAATGAGGCTAAAAAACACATATGAATATCACATTTTAGCTCCAATGAGGCTGCAACGGCAAACATTTTTATATTGTCAAAAAAAAAAGAAAATTAAAAATAATTATTGTTGTTTTTAGAATGTTCTGCTATAATTCATGAACGTTGCCAGTCCAAGATTTCACCAATATGTTCAATTTCAAATGACTCACCAACAGAAACAATTTTGAAATATTCAAATATAGTTGGTGCACGATTTCATGGTGCAAAAATTAAAAAAGAAAAAAATCGACATTCAGAATCATCATCATTTGATTTATCTTGGCTTGATCCATTACCAGAACTTCCCATAGAAAATTCCCAAGGAATATCTTTACCAAAATTTCATGATTTTAAATATATTGGTCGTCTTGGTAATGGTGCCTGTGCTCAAGTCTATTGTATTCAACATATTTTATCAGAACAATATTTTGCTATTAAAGTAGCTGATGGAACAGATATAGAAGCACGACAACAATTAGAAGTTGAAAAATACATTTTATTTCGTTATAGTCATGGAAATCCTTATATGATTAAAGTTTATTGTGCATTTCATCAAGGAGTATATTTTAATCCATTTTTTATTTAAAAAGAAAAAACAAAATGATTTTTGTTTTTGTTTTTTTTAGAATAAATTATTTCTTGTTATGGAACTTGTTCAAGGTGGAACTTTATGTCATAAAATTCAAACAACACGAATGAATGAAGATGAAATAAGATATTATTTAGCGCAAATTATTTGTGTTATACAATATTTACATTCAAATAATATTGTTTATCGGTAATTTTCAAACAAAATGAAACTTTTTTTGTTTTTGTTTTAAATATTCTTTTGAAAACTATTTAGAGATTTAAAACTTGAACATGCAATTGTTTGTTCAACAGGTTCTATACGTCTTATTGATTATGGACTTGCACGAATATTAAAAGCTTCTGATGAAACTTGTCATACTTTCTGTGGTACTTATAGTTACATGGCTCCTGAAGTAAAACTTCTTTTCCTATTGATAAAAACAAAAAAAAAAGAACGTTATCAAATGATGTTTTATAGGTTCGATGTTTAGAGAAAAATTCATCAGATAAAGGTTATAGTTTTGCAGTGGATTTTTGGGCACTTGGAATTATGTTTGTACAAATGTTATGTGGTGAAAAAATCGATTTTGATGATATATTTGCAAATAATAATGAAAATACAACTGAACCAATAAAAATAACACAATATTTAGAATTACCTCGTTATATAAGTCTTGAAGCTCATTCATGTGTTATTGGCTTACTTGAAAATGATCCTGAAAAACGTTTAGGTTCACCTAATTCACCGCATGGTTCAATACGTGATCATCCATTTTTTAAAGCTGGTCATCGAATTAATTGGTCAGAAATTGATGAAGGTGTATTTAAACCTTGTCATAAAAATTCAGAGGTAAACAAAGAAAACTAAAAACAATTTTTTATTATAAAATATTCTTATTTTTCATTTAGAATATACGTGTTATGTCTGATACATCGTGTCATCAATCACTTCCAACTTTACAATTAGATAGAGGAGGTCATGCTAAAGATGATTGGATAGCTGCTGGAAAATCAACGTGTACATCAGATGAAAATGAACGATTGAAATCATTTAATTATATTAACTCATCATCTTGCCTTGAATTTACTCAATCGGATTTTTTATGAAAACTTATTTTAAAAAATAACAATCATTCCTTTGTTTTTTTTTCCATACTAATAATCTTTATTTTCTTCGTATCTTTTCCAACGTCTTAATATCAGATGTTTCTCAAAGTATAGTACAATATTGATGCTATGTTGCAATATATCAGTGTAGGACGTTCTAGTATGTATTGAACTAGCTATCAGTGTCCGACACGGGTCGGGTCGGGTCGGGTCACAAAATTTTTACGACCTCCGAACTTCGCATAAGAAAGGCAGCAATTTTAGATGAGATAATCATTTCTTTATTTCGAATACCTATAGAATATGTATCAATTTACTGAGAAGATTGTCAATGTCTGAAAAAAACTCACTTTTATTGGCCAAAAACTATCCCTCACCTCGGGTCGGGTCGGGTTACGAAAAAAATTTTTGAGCTCGGGTTGGGTCGGGTCGGCTCAGATCATGCTCGGGTCGGACCGGGTCGGGTCTAATTTTTCTGAGCTCGGGTCGGTTGGGGTCACAAAAACAGTGACCCGTGTCAGACACTGCTAGCTATAGTATTACTTCAATACCATATAATCCAGTTTTAAGTTCAAGTTTACGAAGCTTAAGTCGATTTAATATTGACGAGAGAAATGTTAAAGTTGTGTTAGTTGGACAATGAGCTTCTCGCTAACTGATCATCAAAGATATGATTTTTGATGTCATATTCGCATGTAGAATTTTATTTAGAACATCTTCATCAATTCCAAGAAGAGTTAATAAGAATAATCAAATAAATTGGTCAATGTTAAACAATGAGATAAAAACAATCTAATTTTACCTTGTATCTTATTTTCATCAGAAAATGTCAATGAAAGGATATTTTTTCGGATTGAATAAATCGACAAATATGATGGAATTCAGTTACTTCAAATTTAACTTCATCAACACTTCTCATGATAGTGATATAGTCGCAATAGTCAGACTTATAATGATTTCTATTAAAACAAATGACTTTCTAAATCTTTCGAGTCATGATGATATAGCTATGATGATCTTAAAATAAATGAAAAGTAATTATCTGATCTAATTGTTGTTCAATAAAAATGAATTAATTGTGATTATTCGAATAATTTATAGGAGATATAAGATTCTGAACTATAATGAACATAATACAATAAAACAAAAAAAGAAATGAGATGAAATTTATTGTTCTTTGTTCAATAAAATTGAATCATTTTACATTTAGTTGAAAAACAGCATAAAATAACTCTTGAGGATTCTTCAATGTACTTTGATTATACTCAAGTGTAGCTTTGAGATGAAAACCAACATTCTCTATTTCCTGCTGCCATTCAGTACGTGTTCGATATTGAATTGATTTCGTATATTTAATAATGTTTAATTTTTCTTGTTTCCAGTCAATTGTATGACTTACAGAATCATCATCAGATTGAACTTCATTTTGATTCAAATGATTTCTTTGAACATCAGCAAATTCACCAACATGTGCAATCATCATAAAGGCATGAACAAAATTAAGATATTTGGCTGTAAGTGAACGTTTGTTTTCGCAATTATGTTCACGTATAATAAGATAACCACTTGGTCGTAAAATACGAACAAACTCAGAAAGTATTAATTTCAACTGAGGAACATGATGAAGAGTAACAAAACATGTTATGAAATCAACGCGATTATCAGCTAGATAAATAATGAAATATATGAGTATAGAAAAATTCAACAATATCATCAAATTGTTTCAAACATGTGCATAGTGTCCTTTCTGATTATTTTTCTTTTTGATTGTTCCTAAAAAATATAGATTGTGAAATATTCGAAATAGTTATTTTGTATACATAATTTTTTTTTTCTTCTTTCTCTCAATTATCTAAAGAAAATTCCTTGCTTTATGATTGGTTTTAGCAAATATAGAAGATGATGAGATGTGCTTTAAATAAATGAAAGAGAAAAATTACCAAGATCGATGGTCGATTGATTTAAGTTAACATTTACGAATGTTACTTTATCATTGTGACTATCATAATCGGTTCCACCAAAAATATTTTCTTTACTCAAATTTAAATATTCACCAATCTCAACTGTAGTCGAATCATCACGACAAATCATATCAAAATAGGCATTAATAGATGCACGACTAATAATCTCTTTTAAATCAGATGGTGATAATATCTTCAAACTACCAAATGATGATGGACAAGTACGATCAAATTCAAACATAGACTTGATTTCAGCTAAACGATGATCAGATCGAGTTTGAAATTGCCATTCTCGCAGTGAGTCTTTAGCACCTAAGAAATAGAATCAATATTAAAAGATTTTTATCTCTTGATAGATAAACCAGGTTGTTTCTCGAGTTTTTTGATTATTTCATATAATTGGTCAAGTTCACCTGACCTATTAAATTCCACTCTTAATGGAGCCAATACGTGATATATGTTATGTCTTTGTCCATAGATTCTACCAATATATGAAAGCAGCTGACATCGATGTCTTTCACTTGCCCATAAAGAAAAATTATCTTCTCGCGAATCCATCCAACTAGTAAACAGAAAGTTTCCAGATTGAATCGAGCGTTCTGTAAAACAATAATTTACATAAAATAATATTTATTAGTATATTTAGTTACTTTTTTGAAATTGAAACAAATACTAATGAGAATTATTATCCAGTATCAATACAATGAAAATGATTATATAGTAGCTCATGAATTTGTACTAATCAACATAATTTTATTATTAAATGCTTAGTGATGCATTCATATATATAAGTTATTGTCATCCTACATTTCTCTTGAAAAACAGAAATAGATCTGCAGTAATTCATTACGTGTAATTAGGAAGGTCATTTTACTGTTTAATTTAAATTTAGTTCTCTTCCTTTTTTGAAGCTCTTAATCTTTTATATTTAATTTAAAAATATTAATTAATTGAAATAATTCAATTCGTAATTTTAATGCTAATTTTATTCTTTTACATAGGTCAGTCGAAAAGTTCTCGGACTTTCAAATATTTATTCATAGAAAAACCATTTTGTTTATCTTTTTACAGTAAATGTTCGAAGTAGTCCTCATAATGTTCGGTACAAAGTTTCATCCCTTCAATCAACTTCTGAGATGTCTTTTCGTATTAATGAACAGTTTTCGAATGTAGCTCCTTGGATAAAACTTGTAGCATTTGAATATGTGCTAAAGCTAGGTTTCAAACAACTAGACAACCAAAAGTCTGCCGGACTAAGACCAGGCAGATATGATGGATGAACTGTAACTTTGGATTTTTCTTCTTGAACTTATTTAAGATTAAGATTAATACTTTTTTATACGTGATTGTGCATTGTGAAGATACAAATTTAATGCCATGTTTTTTGATGATAATCTTTTTTTGTGTATAGTTTTGACTAATCTGTTTCAACATTTATCACGCTAATACATGTAATAGACTAGGTCTGAGAGGTAGCAACATAATCAACACTAAGATGTGGATCATCATTCTCCAGGTCCTGGACAATATCAATATATTGTTGAGTATTGATGGATAACGGCTACTATTTCGAGGATCATCTTTCAACGGCTCTCGTCTACTTAAAAATGAATAAACCCAATGAGTAACTGTACTATATGAAACAGTACTTGATCTATAGCCAGCAGTTAATTCATCATGAGCTTGTGTAATAGTTAAACCTAACAACCAACGAGTTTTTATATATGAACGTATACGAAGTTTATCTATCTGAAAACAGGGGTGTTGAAAAAATTCATTAAAGAATTACTATAATAGACACTTGTGAAACTTCGTATTGATATTTTAATAGATAACAGATGTCACTACTAGAATAGGTCAACATGAGGAATAAAACCAATTAGCATGAAATTTTAGAAGACTATTACGAGAACTTTTTGACTACCCTATGTAAATTTTAATGATGGTTAATTTTCCAAGAACAAAAATATATGAAAAGACAAGTAACAATAAGCCATAGTTAGCTGTTTTTTTTTCACTAACACCTTTCATATATCTAAAAAATTGCTATTGGAAAAGATCTAGTATCCCTATAGTGAACATCTTTAAAAAAGTTCGAAGGGTGGTTACTATAGAAAGATCATACCGTAGTTCCATTCCGTGAGTTTTAATTAAATGTTCTTACTTTTGAGGTGTTTATTTAAATCAAAATGATTATAATTTTAGTTTTCTCAGAAGAATCATTTGAACATCCTGTAAACTGAATAGTTTTACGATTATATGTAGAATTCTCTAATGAAGAACATTCTCTGTTATTATTTAATTCACTTGCTAAAATAACATTTTCTCTATTAATTATTACTAATTAATAAAGTAACTTACTTTTTTCTTTGTTTTCTGTGGACTTTATTATATCTTGGTCTTTTATGATACTATGAAATTCTTCACTTGAAGTAGTCGGTTGTACTACGTCTAAAATATAATAAAATGTTTATACTTACTTATACTATGATAGAAATTTGAATATTGTGAATTTGTCTCACTACTCTTGCTAGTTACTGATTTTGATGTTGTACTTGCATCATCTTCGAATTAAAGGAGAAAGTCAATGAGCTTTTATTTGAACTTTTTCATTGATAAATTTGATATTTAGAACAAATATACTTACTAATGATTATTTTAGATTTATTCTTGTTTTCATGGATACTTTCTCCGTGTACTATATTAGAATTTGGAGTAGTTTGGGTTTTATTTATTTCATCATTGTTATTCAAATCCAATAATTGTCGTTTCTCTTGATGAATTTCTTTAGAATCTGAGAAATGAATACTTTTTTTGACTTGACTGAGTCGAAATAAATAGTTACCTAATTGTACAATTTTATTAGTTTCTTCCTTTTCAAAATTGGTGCCGGTCTTGTAAGTAATTTTATCTCCAGATTTCATGTTTGCTATCACATTCTTAATAGATAATAAAATCAAGTGTTGATCTTCTTTAGATCGAATGATTACCTGAGATTGATTTTCCATATTTCCTTTAATATTGGTCGTTATTATGGACTCCATTGTACTTTCTTTTGAATTACGATGCTGTAAATCTTACAAAAAATATGATTTTGATTTATTTGAATGCGTTCTATTCAAAAGATTAAATCTTTTTTTTTTAATTATCATATTAATTAATCATTAAACAAAGTTTAAATTTGATAATTGATAATACCTTTTTACTTTGATTTTGAAGAATTATTAGAAATATTAAGTGTCTAATCTCTTCCAAATTTAGATAAAATCATTCTTAACATAGAATTATGTAAACCTATACAGAAAAAAATTGTCAACGTAGCGTCTTTGAGACTAAAATATGTAGAGCTTACGTGTGTTCTTTAGTCCCCATTATACTAATACAAAATATGTTAAGTGAAAAATCTCTATCGGACTATAGTTGTTTTTCAAGGACGATCGATCGTCAGGGAAAATAATTTGTCGTATTTATTTCTGCATTTCCAATAGAAATTTTTTCCTTCTTTTTACTGGTGCTCATTTTTTTGTTTGCCTCATTTTCGTATTCCATTTTTCTTAATTTAACATTAGTATTATTTCAACCAGTGATTTAATTGGTTAATAAGCCTGTTGTATATATCCTTGACATTTCAAATATAATTTTTTACCTACACAAAAATAAAAAATTGTAACATGTATGCCATTGACAAACGTATTCGAGTCATTCAAATTCCAAGGAAGGCTTTGGAATATTCTAGAACAGTCTAAGTATTATTGTTAATGCTGGTTGAAGCCTTTTTCTATTGCTAGGAAATTCTGGGAAAGGAGTCTGATGTTTGTTGTCCTCGGTTGCTATGAAAACTTACCCAATGATCTTTGGCTTCCTTCTCCAGTTGCAAGGGTCGAGGAAGGGAAAACCATGGAAACCTTGCTTAAATCTTACACTCGCTATTTGATTCAAAAATATTTTATTGAATGTTGATTGTATGTTCATCAATCTATTTCAAGTTACATTTTATATTTATTTTTCTTTTAAGAATATAAGATGATCAATATTAAATATATTTTTAAACGTGTATTTTTTTACTTACTCATTACTTGATCCTCTAAATGTTTGATTTGAATTTTATGTTGTTTGAGTTCTTCTTCCAGTATTTCAATCTTATCTTGAAGTTGTTTGATTTGAACATTTTCTTTTTTTATCTGATTATTTATAAGTTCCTCGAGAATCGTAAGTCAATGATTGACTACTGAATTTTCCATGTTTTGTGTTACATCATTATTGATTAGTGATTTATTGGAATTTGACACCTCACTTGCATATTTCAGCTTTCTACTGCTAGCCATTTAGCTTGTCTAGAATAAATCTTCTATTATTACCAAAAATCAAATTTGTCTGAAAAAAAAAATCCACTATATCATAAAAAAGATATAAATTATTTCCTTAGTTAAATTGATTTAAAAATTATCGTAGATTTTCTATATGCAAATGAAACAAAAACTGATATGAGCATTTCATTCATGACTTATAGTCAAAAAGAAAAAAAATAATATCATGTCTTTTCCTACATTAAACTGATTGACTTGAACTAAATAATTTTAATGAAAACTAATTTTAAAAAGTTGCTTATCTAAGTTCATTTGTTAAAAAAATACTCGTTTGGATAATGATTTATAAGAGTGAACTACAGTTTTCAAGGATTTATAACACAAGAAAATGTTTATACAGTTTACTAAGAACTGTATCTGATAGAGAAGAAAAATATATTAAACAATATTGTATTATAAAAAATTAAAATTAACCTGAAAAATAATAATTCTAAAAATCATGAAAATAAAAGTTCTTTTCTTTGTTTTTTTTTCATTTATCAAACATGGATTATTTTTTATCCAATTGATAAACAGCATAAAATAGTTTCTGAGGATTACTAGAACCATCACCACCATAATACAATGTAGCACAAAGATGAAAACCAAAATTTTTAAGTTGCTGTTGCCATTCATCACATGTTCGATAATGAATTGATTTTATATATTCAATAATACGTGACTTTTGTTGTGTCCAATTATCTGTAGTATTTTCATAGTCATCTAATATATGTTGATTTTTATTGTTATAATTATTTGGAGAATCAGCAAATTCTCCAACTCGTGCAATCATCATAATAGCATGAACAAAATTAAGATATTTAGCTGATAATGAATATTCATTTTTGCAATCATGTTCACGTAAAATAAGATAACCTCCAGTTCGAAGAATACGAACAAGTTCAGTAAGTGTCTTTTCAAGTTGAGCTATATGATGAAATGTAACAAAAGAAGTAATGAGATCAACATGATTAGAAGCTAAAACAAAAGAAATAATAGAATTAAATAATCGACAAAAATAGAATATAGACTAACGAAGATTGATAATCGATTGATTTTCATTGAGTTTAACAAATGTAATTACATTGTTTTGTCCTTCGAATACATCACCTCCGAAAATATTTTCTTTAGTCAAACCTAAATAAGTTCCGATGCCAGCTGTAATAGTTCCGTCTCCACATCCTAAATCGAAGTAGGATTTTATCTTTTGTCGATCTATAATCTGTTGTAAACCGGTTGGTGTCACATTGAATGGATGATTCGATGATTGATAATTACCATTGAATTCAAAGATTACTTTTAGATCTTTGAGACGACGATTGATTCGAGAATTATCTTCCCATTTATTAAGTGACATTTGAGCGTCTAGAAAATAAATATATGACACTTGATAAGTTATTTTTCTTTCTTTTTTTAAAATTTAATATGCACCCTGTCTTTGTTTTGTTTTTTGAATTAACTCATTGAGTACATCGAGTTCATCTAAATTTTCCATGGAACTCTTTAATTGAGCAAAGATTCGATATATGTGAACTCTCTGTCCGTAGATTCTACCGATATATGTTAATAAAGCATTTTGATAGGTTGTACTTGACCATAATGATTGTTCAATTGACCATGAACACATCCAATTAGCAAACTCATCTAGCTTCTTACTACTAGTTGATATTTCTGACCGTGAGACTTGTTGCTGATTCCTGGACTTATTATAAGACAAAGAAGACTATAATGAAAAATATTACGATTTAATTTTTGCTTGAATAGAATTTGAAAAATTCTCTCTTCTATTCTCAATGACAAGTACATACGCATGCCAAGTTAAAAAGACGTTTGGCGCCTAGCATATTTGGATTGATAGTAACTGTAAGCTTCGTTCGATTTTCGTTGTTCCGACTGTCCAATTGATTACGTTGAGTCATTGTGTTTTTTTGTTTCTTGTCTGTAATCTCTTTCAAAAAAAGGATAAATTGATTGAAATATCAATTCAAAAAGATTTATTTGAGTTCAATTTAATATTCTGTTCGAATGTAGGTAATCGCGAGTAATACAATACGCAAAGTAGAATGACTTCCTAGTTTCTTAAAATTAATTTAGTCTAAAATTCGATTGATTACTTCATTTTCGCCTGACCAAAATGTGAGAGTCTCTATGGATGTAAGACCCACCATTCCACTCAAATACCTATATTTGCCCTAGAATAATCGATCATGATGAAATTTTCAGGAGATATGTGTTTAATCCTCGATAGTTCTGAATAAAAAGAATTGAACACGAAATATTAACTTATTCAAAAAAATTGTCCTAATACCAAGAGTGAAAGCATGATAACGCATGTGTCTCCGATTTCTTTTTTAATCCTAATGAGATAGAATTTGGTTGACTATCAAAATGTAACTAAAGTTTACCGCTACAGCTGAACAGAGTAAACTATGTTTTTAATTTCGTTTTCTTTTTTTTTTCAAAACGTTTTTCAAAAAATTCAACAATTGAGGACAGCTCGTACTAAAAGAAACTATATTTTTCTCAAAAACTAAACTAAAAATGAAGAACTCTGACTCCGCTTAGTTGTAGCATTGAGTTTTTCTTCATTTTAAAATCTTTTCAAACTTTCCACCTTGCAGATTGAATAAGAAATTTCGGGTATACGAACAAAAATAAAGAAAAATACTAAATAAGTTTTGACTTTGAAAATCACGATTTTCTTCTACAGGAAGTGATATGAAAAATATCGACAGTAGTTGGTCATAAGTTATCCAGTAGGACTATTGGAATGAACACTTACATAGATTTCTGCAGTATTTTTCTCAATAGGAAAGTTGTTTGTGCACCAAAAAGCATTCATTTTTCGAAAAAGTTTCAAAGTTTACTTTCGTTTTTAATACGCTTTTGTATTATGTTGAAATTATAATATTAAATATTGGTAAAAGTCCTTCTATGTGAATGCATATGATTCAGTACATGCTGGTCAGATTCTCCATTACTAGCTTCAGAGGTATCTATAGCTGAGGTTTTCAAAAATTATTGCAAAACCGATAAATCATAGTATGTGCAAAAATAGACAATATGAACTATCTACCTATGTTAAAATCTCAAAGTTGAAATTTTTGACGAAAATTACTTTTATGACTGGTTAATGTTTTAAACTCAACAAATATCAGAAGAAATATTCTCTCGATATTATTCTGTCGAAATTTTATGAATGTTAAAGATCTACAATATAGATTTAAATCTACATTTCAAACAACTTTTAAATTGCTGTATTTTCTTTTACAAATTGAAAAAGTTCAAACAAGAATTGATTCTATTACAAGACAAAAATAATTTATATAAGTTTCATTTTCTATCTCTAGTAAGGTTATTTTAACAATCATATGTAAAAAAGTAACTAAGATTTCAAACTAATATGAAATCAAAATGAGTACATTCTAGTTAAACGATACTCAACTGCTATCGATATAGAAAATGTTAATTACTATTTGATAAATACTCACTTTGTCTATTCGACTGAATGTCAGATTGAATCGTTGCATTAGAAGCGGGAGCCTTATCTAAAAATTAATTTGTATAATAAATTCTTCAAACATTGTATTCTTATATAAAAGCAATATAAAAAGTCAAGACAAATCAATATCATCTAAATCCTAGTCTTTGTTATGTCTCTGATTGGAGAAATTTCATTCAAGTTTCAACATAAGATCTCTAAACGAACTTCTCAATAACCAACATTTATACATATCAATATTGATGAAATTATTTTTGATCTAGAGCATCTAATGAGGAAATGGAATCATTGAAATTAGCTTTCAGACATTACATAATTCTCATATCATTCTATTCAACACACAAACTCGAACTTCTCGGAAAATGATACTTTAAATTCAAAGAATTGATCATTATTTTCAAAATAGATATTTTTCTTGTCTGTCAACTTCAATGAAAATATCAGCTGTCAGACTTAAATAAAATGGTTCTCTTCAAATCAAACAAGAATGAAATCTTCAGAATGATAGATACAACCCATAAAAAAGATTATCAAAAGTTATACTGTTTATAAAAATTTGTAAATAGCTATAATAAATATTAGAGAATCTGAAAAACTCACATGTTGATCCTTTAGTTTTCGACGTTGTTGAATAATCTTCTATCTCCTAAAAATGCAAATAACTTTTCAGAAAAAAAGAAACAATAACAATGGATAATACATAATCATCGTATGCACTAGTTGTTGGAGTTGATGTTTCTACGGATTGCTAATAATAAAAGAAAAACATATTAAAAGAATTATAGCATGAACGCATACAATTATAACAATAAATCACAAACCGTTCCAGTGGAAGCATCATCTTCGTAATCATTCATAACATAGTTTTCATTTGGTTTTATAAAACATGGAGACTGTTGGATCTTACTACAAAAAAAAATTAAGAATCAAAATTTTTAATGAATGAAAACGTGCATGCTTAAGGAAGGGTATCTCTTCCTTCTTTGACCGTTTCTGATGCTCGAAGGCAGTACAACTGATTAGGCTGAAATTTTTACTACAGACAGAGCACCAAAAATACGGAGACATACGTTCGAGGAAAAAAAGATTTTGAAATAAATTTTTGCTGGAAAACCCTGATTTTCCATAGGATCACATCCTAGTTGCTTACCAGTCCCATCAAACTTTATCCGGTTTGGCTGAGAAGTTTTTTGGAGATACCTAAAACTATATGTGAAAGGTAATTTTAATCTTTTCTAAAAATTTCACTTTCTTTTTGTTTTTTAAAAGAGAACTACGTAAATATTTGAAGCCAAAACCGAAATCTCATGAGGTAGGAAAGTCGAAAATGAAAACGGTCGATTTAACCTCTGGAGAATAATTTCCAGTAGCAATGATAAAAATTTTAGCTCGATTGAACAAGGTTAAATGAGGGTCGTAAGCAACCAGGATATGGCCCTATGGAAAATCAGGGTTTCCAAGCAAAAAACCATACAAATCCACTTCAAATTTATCCTCTTCAAACACATATTTCATTATTTTTGGTGTTCTATCTGTAGTGAAAATTCTAGATTGATTGGTTGTACCGTCGTCGGGAGCCATGAAATGGTCCGAAAAGAAGGAGGGTATCCTTAGTATTCATCATTAGAGAATATATCAAGATTAAATATGCATATATACTATTTTTACTTTGAACCAATCAAGAGGTTCATTCTATTCTTTATTTCAAGAGCAAACAATGTTCTTAGATTGAACAGAATTTCTATAACTCATAATTTATATCTCTTTACTTAAATGATTTGCAGAAATTGACTGATTTAGTATAGTTTACGATTAAAATTTTGTCATCAAACACATAAACAATCGGATCATCTATAATTTTCTAGATTTATCAATGCTTTTCTTTCCGTGATAGTTTGATACTCGCACATGCCTTGCTTTGCTTAATACTGAGAAAAACCAAATTGAAGAGAAGATTTTCTATCTTCTTAATGTTCTTACATTAAATTGTAGAAATTATTTCATCTCATGCAATATTGTTTTGTAATTTTTGCAAATATGTTACAAATACTTTTTGAATTTAAATAGCAAATAGACATGTCATACTCATGGAAAAAGGATTTCGAAAGAGAATAGATAATAATCAAAGATGTTTATATTGGAATATTCTATGTCAGTAATCTGAGAGGATCTCTTAACTCATTGTATCTAAATTGATGATTTTTTTTCATCAGTTTTCTTCTATCTTTTTACATAGCTTTTAATCATATATTTAAAATTGGATTGGATTTCAATTGAAGTATGGAACTACTTGCTATTAATTGAAGAAAGAAAATTATTGATAAACTTTGACTATATCTATAAATGAAGAATAAGAAAATTGCTACCTACCGTTGATCTTCATGATTTTTAGTAACAATGGTCGGTGGTATTGTCGATTTGACTCCCAAAGAGGAAGAAAACTGAAATGGATATTTCACTATTAACAAATAATAATGTATATAAATATATTATATATACTGTTAGTCTGTTTTGGACAACAATATCATTCAAGCAGCGATAATCACCATCGAAGATTTTAACATTCAACATGCCATTTACTTGGCCATGTGATTCAACAGAAAAAGGACCTGTTTGACATAAATTATTCAATTGTTTGTATGTTTCAGGAGGCATTTGATAACTGACGAGTTTGAAATCACTATCAATTAGACGACAAGGAATAGCCAAACAAGGTAATCTAGCAAAATATTTAAGTAAAAATTTGAATTGACCTTCGACCATTTGAACCTCTTCTGTTATTCCAAGATCTACATATATAATAATACATTTTGATAGATGATTCTCCCTAACAAGAACACGATGATAGATTCCTTCATATTTGCACACACATGCTAAATCAATTGTAATCTTTTTTACTAGTAAATTGTCTGATATTGGATTAGAATAATAAAAACTAAGAAAATAAAAAATATTCAAATTTAAATTAAATAATTTATATATTTTTCTAAAATCTCCTACTCAAGGTCTTCAGTCAATTCCTGCATGTTTTGCATATGACATTCGGGTTGCATATAAATAGTATAATTGTTCCTATCGATATTCGATACATAAGCAAGAAATGTTTCATGATTTGTAAATGCATATGGATTTGAACGATAATGAAAATCTCCTGGAACAATACCAGACGCAGTGATTTTTTCTAGTGTTAGTTGTTGTCCCTGGAAAAATGAATTACAATATTTTGTAATATATGAAAAATGTACACTGTTCATACTTGATCAATATCATCCTCAACTTTCAGTCCTATGATGTCATCAATTGTACTATTCTCTTGATCTTGTCGTGTGCTCCAGACGAAATTGTTAAAGATATTAGGCAAAGCTAATTTGATCAACATATGTAATAAACTTTTGCCAAATTTCGTCTGAATAAAGAACAATAATGATATTAGATGAAGTTATGACTAGTGAAAACGCACTTTATATTGGCTTTCTAGAGCAACTGATGGAATGCCTTGGGAATGTTCACTTAGTAGCTATGAAAAAGGAATATATAGAAAGTCGAACAATTTAATAACAATAATATACATACCGTCTTTAAACTGTTCCCTATATCAGTTTCGTTATAGCTTTCATTGTTCGTGAACGAATCCTCAACTTGATACATAATTGATAAGACTGAAATCTAAATAAATCAAAATACTCAATAGTTATGATCGATTTTCAATGACAAATATTTAAATTTCAATGAATCTTGTTATATTTATGTTTATAAGAGATATATCACATATTCAGTAAATCGAGAATGTCAAAAAAATGTTCGGAATGATCAGATATACACACAAGCATCCTATAGATGACAATTAAAGTATTGTAAATAAATGAAATTTTACGTAAAATTTCTTCTGGCGACAAACGCATCTGTCACAATTGTCTTCCGTCATTTTCAAACGAAAACATTTTTCGATTTTTAGCTAAAGAACTGTGATAGTCTGTGCGTGCGTGTTTCGTTCTTTATTTTTGGTCAGTCGACCGGACTTACGCATGTGAGCAAAAGATTGGATGTTACTCAACGGTCTCAAGCTAAAATTCGAAAAACATATTATCAACAGTGACCAAAAGTGGAGAACATTCATATATCTGCTGAAGAAAAGCTACGAGAAATATCATACATATTTAGTAAATTAATAGTCAGTCATATGATACTATTAAATATGTCTCATCTCATGAAGTATCTTTCACAACTCCGATTTACTGAATATATAGCAATGCTGCATAAAAATAAAGATACTCAATCATAGTACTCTCATCTTGATACATGTTGCTGTCTTCTAATAAAGACATTATAAGAATTTAGTAAACACTTTTGCACTCATACTTAATTGTTAGATAGGCGACGGTGAGACTAGAAAAATTCTAAAAGGATTCCAAATAGCTTTAGTTGGTTGTAATAAAAACATCTCATGTTTACGATGATGAGTATGCATACATGGGTTGTTGCATCTATATTACAAGAGTAGATTCTTACCAAAAATAAATTAATTTTTTAAATACCCCTCGATAGTAATGTTTCACGTATTCCAATCAATCACAATGGAATGAGAGGCGTGAAAATATTCTAAAATTTACGTTATTGCGTTCATCAGATGACACAAGTTCGAAGGAATAACGTAATTTAATTGCAAGGTGTACATTATACAAAATACGAGTGGATTTTATTTTGCATTGAATTAAATATGGTTTCATAGAACTTGAAGAGCTGATCAAAAATATATAATTTTTATTTCGATCAGATTATCTCTTCGTTCTAAAAAGCTTCAAATATTGATAAGGTCATAGATATAAGCATAATCATTTTTTCTCTCAAAACAATTCTTAGGTTTCTATAATCTTTTTCCTTATACAGCATTAAAAATTCAATAGAAAAATATTATTCAGACTTAAAATAAATAACATTAAAAACTGTTATCGATATATGTAGACTTCTAGCATGTGTTTATAGATACTTTTGGAAATCTGTCTAGTTTCTTGTGATAGAAGATAAGACTGAATGTCTTATCTCATTTGAATCAATAGGTATCGAGCTATAAAAGTACCTATTTTGTTTTACTGTTGAACATATCGAACACTCCCTCGTTTCAGTGGTAAACGGACCAAAAATGACCTTGTTCATTACACTTTCGATTATCAAAACTCATTTGAAAAACAAAACAAACAGTATATGTAGGATCAGCGCGAAAATCTACATCGAGTCACATATATCTTAACAAAATCACTTTTCCACGAAAAACGAACTTGTTCTTCCTTCAGTATTTTTCCTTTAAAATTATACCTGTGGTTCTCTAGAGTCGATTTTCTAGCTAACATGGAATTTGCTAAAATATGCATGGCCCACTTTAGATTATCACAGTGATTTTGAATATACTGTTTATTTCGTTTTTCAACGGAGTTTTGATAATAGAAACTGCAATAAATAAGGATACTTTTGGCCGTTTTACTGCTATAAGAAAAGAATATTAGACTTTCTCGACAATAAAACAAAATCAGCATTTTGTAGCTCGAAATCGACTGATTCAAATGAGATAAGATATTTGATCCTATCTCCTGGCATAAAAAGCTAGATAGGTTTTATAAAGGTATCTATAAACATATGTTATAACACTGTAAACAGTGATGTAGAATAATAAATCTTACGAAAAGGGTTTATATTTAGTTTGATGAGGAGTTTATGAAGCTAATAAACCCTGTTTGTAAGGTTTATTATTCCATGCTGTTCTTTTTACAGTGAAGTCTACTTATATTGATAATAGGTTTTTACATTATTTCTTTTAATTATCGATAATATTTTTCTATTGAATTTTTAATGCTGATTTAGAAAAAGGATTGTAGAAATTTAAGAGTTGTTTTGAAGGTAAAAGTGATTTTGTTTAAATCTCTGGTCTTAAAAGTATTTGACGGTTTTTGCAACGAAAGGGTAACTTAATTGAGATAATATGTATATATTCGTACACAGCTCTTCAACTTCTATCAAACCATATATAAATCAATGAAAAATAAAAATCCACTCGAATTTTGCTTTATGTGTATTTTACGAATAAATTACTTTCATACATTGAAACATTCGATATATTATTCCACTATACATTTTTCCACATATACCTTTCACCTTCATATGTATCCTTTGCATTCTACTGTATTTTTTTTGTCTGGGGTTTTTTATTACTAGCAACATCGTACAATTTTTACTCAATCTGCATTTAAAGTGTTAAATGCTGACAAATATAATACTAATGATTAGTATTTGAAAAAAATATTCTTTCTTTCAAAAAGGTCTAGTTTTCCAATTCAAACCCAAAAAAAAACTATGTATTCGTACCTATCGTCCTATATGTGAAGTGTTATTACTTCAATCCGCTGTAACTATTATGGCAAAACCTTTTCGAGTCTTTCTAGTTTCATCAAGTTCTTTTGACGAGCAACATATGAGCTCGAAAGCTTTTAATCTGCTACTTAATTTTCCTAGTTAGTAAATATACTATCTAAAAAAAAAACAGAAACTTACAAATAAGGAACCATTATTAGAAAAAGAAGAAATAATTTGAACATCATAATCTAAATTGAAACTGTTTCAAAGGTAAAACAAAGGAAGGACAAAAACATAGAGATATCCACGAAAACAAAAAAAAATATTATGCGACTTGCTCTTTTATCAGAACTTATCTATTGAAATACTTTGTTTACCATTGCTGCTGTTTAAATATACACATATGAAAAAAAAGGAAGAACAATAACTAAAACAGATTAATATTTCTTTTTTTGTCCGATCGTTAGGTAGTTGTCGATGTGCTTTTTTTTATTGCTCTCTCTCTCTCTCTCTCTCTGTTGTTGTGCAATGCCACACTTACACACGGAACCTAATAGAAATCATGTGGCAAACAAATCAATGGTGGCATAATTTGCATTGTTTTCTTTTGCAAAAACAACCTGTGCATTTTGATGAAAGTTTTTTTTTATCCTTCATTACTTTAAAAAAAATCGAGTTTGTGTTTCAAGTGTACTGTTTGTGGGAGACATTCAGAACTGTACACACAATCAATGCAAGAAAAAAAAAAACCAATAGATGGTCTTTTTTTATCACAACAATTTACATCAAAAACATCACATTAGTTTCAATATTTCTGTATTATTTTCATCGCTTGACTTAGACTTTTTTCATAAACACTAAAATCATTAAATTAGTTTCATTATATTGTATTGTTTACATTTCATGACTTTAATTTTTCTTTGTAAAAATACATAATGAAAGTGATTAGTTTTATTCTTATCGACTCTGATGTCTTAATCCATACGGGTTTTTCTCAAAATTAACGATACGTAACTTCACGAAAGATACTCGCCTTAGATTTTGAAAATAGTCTGAATAAAACTATTCCATTTGACTCAGCAAATGAATCAACTGGGAGAAAATGAAAATCCATTGCCTTTCAACTTTTTTAAGGCATGACTTTCATGCACAATGAATCATTTTCAAGGGAAAAAAAAATCATCAATGATTTTAAAACGAATTACGAAATAATGTCTGTATCATTGCCAGAAGTGGCATTTGTTGCATTACGATAGTCATTTCTCTATGGGAAAAATACCATTAAACTGATGAAAAGTCCATCATGTTTTACTTTTTTGTTTTATTCTATAAGGGACTCAAGTTATTATTGAATACAAGAATTCCACGTCAGATTGGCTCTCTCTCTCCAGAGCTACAGCTAATATTAGTTTTAGGGAAGATATCGAGTTATTGAATCTGCTACTAGGTGGCACCCGATACCGTTAGGTAGCCGAAGGGCAAAGGTATTTTTCTTCTTCTCACATTCAATAGCAACATCTGAGATTCTCTGTTTTTTTTTGAAAGTGTCTTCTAGGTCTTTGAATGATAAAGTCATGAAAATAGTTATCTAACAACAGATGACTGTGTAGATCAAGATCGGCGCACAAAAAGCAACTAAAAGTCTATGAAACCGACAAGAGATTGTCATTATCTGTCTCTTAAACGTTATCAAATATGACTGTTATTCTACCTTTACGTTGATACATGATGTCTGAACAAAAACAAAGAATGAATACTAACGTTCGTTTTCTTTGAGTTTTTCAGTATAATGACTCTATTCAATCACATATCGATTTTTCTAATTAAACAAAAATGAAAAGATTTCTTTCCAAAAATAAGTTTAAACTTTACCTAGATAAACTAGTCTAGTCTTTGCTTACCTGTGTTTCGCCTGTCTTGTAAATAAAATTAAATGAAAGCCAGCTCGATCATTGTTTTACCTTTTTCTTTCTATTAGAAGATAAGGCAACATAAAGAAAGTGTTACTATTACATTTGCCTTGTTATTATTGCA